GCAACCAGAAGGGCCTCCCAAGCCGGAAAGGTTGAAGGGTAGAGAACAGACAAAGAGAGACACCCTGGCCTCCAGGTTGGGGGCTGAAGCGTTGGGCCGACAACACCACCTTCATAGAACTTTATCTCATCACGAAACAGATATCTAAACCTCGTTTTCAGATAGATTTAAATGAACAACTAGCCTGGAACGTTAAAGGGCTTTTGAGATTTGGAACATGGAATGTACAAACCCTTTATAGAGCTGGAACAGCTGAAGCACTGACCTGTGAGTTATCAAAATACAAAATGTATATAAAAGCAATTCAAGAAAAAAGATGGCCAGGACAGGGTACCATAGAGGAAAATGAAATGATCATAGTGTATGGAGCAAACACTCAAAACAAACATAAACTAGGACTAGGATGTGTTATCAAGAAAAAGTTGTGGAAAAGTATACATTTTTTAAGCTGTTAGAGATAGGATCAGTAAGTTACGAATAAAAGGAAAATGGAAAAACATCACGATAATTAATGTGCATGTACACACTGAAGATAAAGAAGATGATATTAACGAAGGATTCTATGATCTCCTTGAGAATATCTTAGATAAAGCTAAAAAACGAGACATATTGATTGTCTTAAAAGATTTCAAAGCAAAAATAGGAAGAGACAATACCTATAAAAATGTAGCAGGCATGGAAGGCCTACATACTAATGCAAACAATAATGGACGAAGATTAATCAACCTCGCCATAGTGAAAGAACTACAGACAAGCAGCACCAGATTTCAAGGAAAAGATATACATAATCAAACCTGGCAATCATGTGACAAAATAACTTATAATCAAACAGATCACATTTTAATAAATAATAGAAATGCATCGAACATACAAGTTAGAAGCTACAGAGGAGCTGAGTGTCATAGTGACTACATCCTGGTTAGTGCAAAATTAAAAATCGAGTTAAACAGATCCTTTTACAACAAGTTACAAAGATCACACCCAGAGTACAAAAAAGAAAGATTACAAGAAACACTGAAATTTTACAAAATCTGTCAGAGGAACATGTTGACCAAACCTGGATGGATTTTAAGAATATGATTCAAACCACTGCAGAAGAATCTGTGTGTCTACAATAAACAGAAAGAAAAAATGGTTTGATACAAAATGTGAAGAAGCAGTCAAAAAGAAAAAACATTTTAGGCAGATTTGGCTAAATGATACTAGTAACAAACGAAATGAAGAAAAATATAGAACAGAATGTAAAGAAGCTACAAAAGTAGTTAGGCATCAAAAGTGGGAATACATGAACAAAACTGACATGGATATGGAAGCTAACCATCAGAACAATGAATCCAAAAGGTTTTTTAAAGAACTGAATACTGTAAAACGAGGGCATCAACACACCATTTATAGTTTGAAAGATCACAATGGGAACATGACAAATAATAATGAGGAAATATGTAACAGATGGAAGGAATACTTTGCTGAATTGTTAAATTGTAAAACTCCACTTAATACTTGTCCACAGGAAGAGATATTAACATGTGAATCAAATATTGAAGAGCCTCATTTTGAAGAAGTACTGTATGTCATAACACAGCTTAAAAACAGTAAACCAACTGGTGCTGATGGAATTGCAGCAGGACTTTTAAAAGAAGGTGGTCATGCAATACATGTAAGGATTTATGAAATAATAAAACTAGTTTGGAAGATGGAGAAATAACCCCATGAATGGAAAGTGTCTTTATTATGATCCATTTTAAAGAAAGGAGACAAGTATAAGTGTGAAAATTATAGAGAAATATTACTGTTATCTACAAGCTATAGGAAACTATCGACAGTACTGCTAAACAGGCTAAAACCATATGTCGAAGACATATTGGGAGACTAGATTACCAAGCGGGTTTCCAACAGAACAGATCAACAACAGATCAGTCATTTTACGGCAAATAGCAAAGCAAAACTGGGAACATAGAATAGATGTAAATAATGTTTTTGTGGATCTCATAAATGTGTATGATAGTATACATAGAAATAGTTTATGGAATGCTGTGAAGGACTTTGGAATACCAAAGAAGTTAGTTACCATGACAAAACTATGTATGGAAGATCCTTGCTATATAGTAATGTAAAAAGGCAGAAAGTCAGACCCTTTTCGAATAACATCTGGTTTAAAGAAAGGTCATGCTCAGTCTCCACTTCTTTTCAATTTGGCCCTGGAGAAAATTATAAGGAAATTGAAACAAGAGTGTACTGTAGGAGAATCTACAAGAATACTTGGATTTGCAGATGACATTGATATCTGTGGCTTAGGAGTTGCGAACGCGCTCGGTAATGCCAGGATGCTGGGTTTGATCCCAGTTGCAGTTCTTGCACCTTGCTTTGGTTTTGACAGAGGTATCGAAAAGCCAACCGTCCATAAAGCAATGGCAAACTACAGGAAGTAAATTTGCCTAGAAAAGCCACAACAGCCAAAACAATGCTGGGGTTGGTTCTGCAAGTCCTGTAAAGGATACGCAACATAGGAGGAGGATTGATATCGTTGGAGAACACGAACAAGAGACTGTTAAAACACTGACTCTCTTAAAAGAATCAGCTCAGAAAATGGGACTAGTTATCAATCGAGATAAGACAGAACACATGATAATAACTAGACAGGGAAAGGATAAATACTCTGGCCACATACAAGTGGATAATCTGAAAATCAAACTAAACGAAACATATAAGTACTTGGGTACAAACTTCAACTGCTCCAACAAGCTGAGAGAAGAAACACAATCTAGAATACAATTTAGAAATAAAGTATTCTATGTCCTTCCACATCTACTTAAGTCAAAGTGTCTGTCTCGCAATACAAGATCAAAATATTTAAAACATTAATAAGACCAGTCGTTTTATATGGCTCTGAAACTTGGAGCACAACTAAAAGAGATGAAGCGTTATTACAGGTTTTGCAAAAAGAGTCTTACGACGAATCTTTGGACCCATCAAAGATGTAAATAGCGGGTAATAGAGAGTTAGAAGCAAACAACGAAATTCATAATCTGTTTAAATCACCATTGATCACTGGCATCATGAGAGCTAATAGACTGAAATGGTTGGGGCATATTGAGAGATGGCAGATGACAGAGAAATGAAAACTGTACACACAAGGAAGGTGAATGGTCGTAGATCACGAGGCAGATCAAGAAGACAATGGGGAGATTATGTCCAGGCAGAACTGCAAACACTTGGTGTCACCAAGTGGAAAAAGAAGGCCAACCAAAGAGATGAATGGAGGCAGGTGATATCTGCAGCAATGAACCTCAAGGGCTCGGAATGCTGAAGAAAAAGAAGAAGAATATACACAAAGCACTTGCACAATAACACAGTAAATATAAATAGCCATGCAGATCACTAAAAACTTTATGTGGGCAGCATGCTGCCATTTCTGAGTGCACACTTGAACTTGCTGCGTCCATGAAAAAATCTGAAAATTGACACCCCTTGTATATTTATTATTTCGCACATTTTGCTGAGATCTAAATATTGATATAAGTATCATGTGTTATTTAACTGATGCCTAGCTGTGAAACCACATGTTTTGCCACTTTAAACTTGCATTTGTAAGTTGAATGTTGACAATTAGCCAAACAGTATGTAAAAGTTCTACAATATTTCCTAAATTAGGAAGATGTAAGCAGTCTGGGAGGATGTTTTTAATTATGCATTCATTTTTACATAAGGAACAGATTTCAGCAAATATTGAAAACAAGATTTTAGTGACCACATTGTCTTACTTCAGATCTGCAATGCAACATGTTCGCTCTAGGTGGATGTGTTGATCCACTTTGATTTTATAATTAATACATCATTACAGGCTAGTAATTTTGTTGGGAGAAAGTACAAATTTCGAGGAATTAAAATATTGATTTATAATATTTTATAATGTGACATGATTTCAAACACCTTAAAGACCATTTTCCTACACATCTGTCACATTTTTGGAACTTTTTATGGCTATTTAGGAATTTACTTTAAATGCTTACTTCTGTATTAAAGGTGTTTGATTTCTGTTTTTGAAATCCACAACCACTGTGGCATTTCTTCAGGCACCAATCAATATTTGCGGTACACACCATTGTCTGGTTGAGAATTTTGTATCTGATAACCCCAAAATCTGGATATGAATTTTAACTATCATGGCCGCCAGGTTTGAGCATAGTTAGTAATTATGTTTAAATTTATGCTGAAGTACAGAAATACAGTTGTTATACAAGGTCCGACAATTACGTAATGAGACTAATTCCATTTAAATTTAAATAATCAATATTTGAAGGTACAACCTGTATTTTATTCAAAGTAAGACCCTGTATCACTGCATTTGTTTTCTTCCAACTTTAAACCTGTTGTATTTATTGCCTCTTAAAGTGTTTACTTAAAACTAGTGAGCTGGTGACCATTTTTTAATGTTTATTAGATAATATCAGCATTTTTGTGTGATCTGTGTGACCATCTCATCTTGCCAGGCTCGCTGGCAAATACCCAAAAATGTATACATGTTTACTTAAAACAGTGAGCTGGCAACCATTTTTATATGTTAATTAGGCCCATATTGCATCATACATATTTAAGAAATGCACATACAATTAAGCCTCACTGCCGTGACTGCAATGATATATAGCTGCTATAGGATTCATTAAAAAAAACAAAATAGTTTTTGCTATAAAATGCAAACATTCAGTCATTTTCACCCTACATTTTACTAGGGCGCAGCTGAGAATTAATCTTTTGTCAGCTTCCACTTTAATTTGTCTATGGTGGTATCTGCCACTAAAATGTTAATATCTTTGCTTAGAACTAAGTCACAGGCTTCACCGAGGTATCACTGGATTGGATATTTTAAATCTCAATCTAGCTGTGATCGTTTCAAAAATAAAAACCCAAAATATAAAATCTCACTAGCATCCCTAATATAAATGGTGAGGAATGTCTTCAGACTAAATAAAACTGAATTCTATGATCTATTATTTGCTCACCTGTTTCTCCTACATAAACAGTAAATTGCACCCATGATAAGGGCTAGAATGGCCAATCCAACAAGAATTGGGACCTGCAAATAATAAGCCAGGTAACTTGTTATGTATACATTAAAACATAAGCTTAGAAGAATTACCTAAAATAAATTTTTAATTTTAATTTAATAAAATTTACTACAGTGCCTTTAAAGCAAAGTTACTAAAAGTCAGCAGTACAAGTTGGTAAATGTATACTATCATGGCATTTTTCTTTGCCTTTTTTCTCTTCTCTTATGCCCTCTATTTCTCCTCTTTTTTTTTCTTCTTCTGCAATTTCTTCTTTTTCTTATACTTCTGTTCTTGTGGTACTGATTTTATTTTTAATTCTCCTCAGTCACTGTTTCTGAGTAATCTCTGATGGATCATGTATTCAACATCCCTAAGGGTGAAAACTCATCTCACTGCACACATACAAAATGCTTCAGCAGGCCAATAAAGAAAAGGAAGCATTAAATGGCAGCTGTTATACTAACTTTCAAATGAGACAACTTATCTACAAAGGGATAATTATAACATGCATGATGCTCTCTCTCTCTCTCTCTCTCTCTCTCTTTCTCGCTCACGCGTGCATACACACGCACACACACACACACACACACACACTAAGATTCTAGCTGGTACAATGAGTTGGTGTTCTGTGTGGAGATTTAACCTATGTAATCTATTGCAGGAGGCTGAAGCTGACACAGAGATACTTATTTTCAAAGATGACATCTTTACAGTTCCACAACAGGTCCCTGCATTTTCTGTCTTTTCTCAAATGTTAAATTAACTGTTTCACAGCTGCAAAGTATTGAGTGATGATTTAAAAGCTTCATCATTTGTCATGTGGTCTCTGTAGCTAGGATCTTTTTAAAAAATCTCATAAGTGAGTCCATAGGTGCTCAGATGCTACTCTCAGTATGAACCCCAGCATCCGGTGGCTAACAGTACCAGTTTTATGTTAAGTTTTATGTTGTTTTTTTTGCTATGCCGATCTTAACTCCCAAGTCTATTATTCTGGTGAGTGATGTGGATTCACTGCCCTCAAAGTCATCCACCCTTCTCATTTCTTGGACGGCATGAATAATATCAGCATGATCCATAGGCTACCCGTCATTAGTGATAGCGGATCCAGCCAACCTATCAGCTCTTTCATTTCCATTAATGCCTGCGTATCCCAGAACAAAACGAAAATAAATGTGACTTCATGCACAGTGGATTTCTGTAATGATTCAACCCATTGCCTTCGCACCGTACCTGCCTGAACCCTCCGAATCATACTCACTGAATCACTTAGTACACAAGCGTGGGTGTAGTTTTGTGTTTCGAGCCACTGAACACTTGCAATACTACCAAGACCTCAATTATCATGCTGCTGGTTGACATGGAGAAGTCGCCTGTGGCTTCCTTGACTGTTCTGCCAGCTCAGGGTGCTGTGAACGCCCATGCACTTTTTGTTGGCGTATAACGGATCGGTCTGTGTAAATCAGTACATCGGCCTCGTCTAAATTTTCACTGTTGTAAGCATTGACCTCTGCATGGACAGCAGCAGGACTCTGCTCCCTGCATTGCCTGTCAAGTGTGGCAATACAGGAAAGTGTACAAATAAACGCATGAGTCACAGGTATCCACTTTGCACCAGGGGTGATGTCGATTATTTGCTTGATAACATCTTCTGCACGACCTAGCCACGATTTTCCCCTTTTCAGCCTGTCACCCTTTCCACTGAAAAACCCTTGATGCAGTAGGTGTTTCTTATCAGCGCATATTTTAAGGTATCCCAAGCCCTCCAGATCTTGATCCTTTGGTTCATGGTTGGAAAGTCAAGTATATCTTGTTGCTACACAGGAAGTGTCTCTTGTACATCCCAAAATAATGCGTGAAGCTTCATTTTGCACTTTTTCAAGCTGTTCAATCTGTGTAGCACTAACAATGAGGATGGTTAGAGCATATTCAATGGGGGAAAGAACCAACCCGTACAACAGAAGTGTTAGTAGTCTTTGCTTGATATTGGAAGCAGCCATAACCCTCAATGCAGATAGACCTATGCGTGCTTTTGTCATCACGTGGTCAACACGTTCCTTGAATGACAAGCTGCGAACAAATGTCACCCCGATATATGTCATCATGCTGGTTCTGATCAACAGACTATGACCCATTGTCACTTCTGGTTTGTCTGTGTTGACAATGTGATTGGTCAAAGAGAACCATGTCACTGACATAGGCACTGAAACAATCACCAGGGGCAATTCAATCGAGTTTGCTGTGCACTGTGCTGGCGATCTCCTGTCTGTTGCATCCTTGTCGACACATTAAAATGTCATCAGCAAATGACAAAGTCCTCCCCTCCCCTTTCCATTCAACTTCTACTTAGTGATCATCACCATATACACACCATATATACACTGAACAAGATTGTGGTAGTCTCGTAAATTTGGATGCTGAAGTCCACATTTCACAGCCTTTTGTCTTTTTCTTGGATCTTTCTGTCAGAAAACATATATAAGAAGGCCAGTAACTTTGATGCACGCTATTGCGCAGTCCAAACCCGCCAGGATAACATACTTTGTCAGGAGTAAGGTTTTGAACAGCCAGACGGCTTCTTTGTTAGCAGCATACAGTTCTGTGTTGGAACAAATACTCAGCATTGTCAGGTGCCAAGTTTCAGGGTTACATCTTCATGTTTCCTTCACTGAACAACTTGAACATATGTTGGCAAAGTCTGTGGTTACCTGTCTTAGTCTCAATATGACATACTGTCCCTCTCTAGAGAAGCGATGAAGTGAGTATTGGGGAGAAAATCTAGGTGTGAGTATTCAGTCTACTTTACTGGATGCTAGTTTTTATTAAAGTTTCAGTCTCCTGGTGGGTTCAGTCACAATTTGACTGCGACATGTCACTGTCACTTCTGGCTACTCTTGTCGTTTTACTGCCATCCAAGTCACAGTCCCCTGCAGGACAGCTTGTTCTACTGAAGCTCATATATGAATAGGCTGTTGTGTCACTCTACAAAAGGGCATGTCTTTTGGGTTAACAATTGCTTGTAGAATCAACTTAGTATCAGTCAGAAAGACCAGTTTGTGCGCTAAGCAATCATAATTTTGTTTTACAAATGACAACCTTTTTCAAATCACCAGCTAAACCTGACTACTTACAATAAGCATAATCTTGATAACAGAGCTTTCCTGGGGTGTCAATCACAGAAACTGAATATTTGTCTCTGAAGCCCATACAATAAATCTGCCGTTCTTTATTTTACAAGTATAATAACAGAGTACATTGTTTTATCACATATGTCAAATCAAGTGGATTCATTTATTAGTTAACACACTAATTATTACTTACTCATATTAATGATTACTCACTAACAATTCAGTATTAGGGAGCATTCATAGCTCATACACACACAACACATACAATTTAATTATTATTCTCCTTCTTCTGTCTTTTTTTAACCACCCCCCCCCCCCCTTTTTTCCTAAATAGAGCATTAACCCTCAACCAACACACGCCAAGTTCTTCCTATCCTTTGCTACTGCATGCAGCTCTTCCCTTATCCTCCCCCTATTTTTAACTTTACTCTCTAGCTCCTGTCTCCGTGTATTTGTGGTCTTCCTTTATTTCTGTGCCCCTGTGGGTTCCAGTGTGGGTTACTTGTTTAGTTCTCTTCAAAAGTTCGGCTCTCCTTGCAATAACGGTCGCTAGTTGGACGGCGACAGCCGCTTAGTCGGAGTTCAGTCCCCTGGGTGCAGTGCAATTACGGAGTGAAAAAGAGGGATCGACACAAATGACATAATTAGGGCTAGGGTAGGGTTTGGGTTTGGGTTAGGCTAATGTAAGTCGCAGCGCGTGATCTAGACGCCATGTTGAACTCACTGCGTTTTGTGATTCGTGCCGTGTTCACTCCGTAAATGCACTGCAGCCAGGGAAATTAACTCCGACTAAGCGGCCATCGCCGTCCAAGTAGCGACCGTTATTGCAAGGAGAACCAAAAGTTCTACTCTACGTTTGTGATTGTTTCATATAATTTATTTTCCTCTATTCTGCCCAGGTACCAGGTAATGAAATGTTTGCAGTTTATTTTAATATCTTTATCACTTTATTTGTTATAAATTTCCCCATCTTTATCTACATTACTGCTCAAATGAAATAAGTATACTACTCCACGCCTTGGAGTGTGATACCTTTAAGAGAAACCACACTACTATATGCCTGATTATTCTCTTATTATTATCTGCAATTATTAAATTATACCTAGCATTCAACGGTTTGAACAGAGGAAAAAACTAAAACTGTTTCATGTTGTTAATCTAGAAGTAACAACCATAGGTACATCATTAGCCTAAATATGCAGCAAACGTTAAAATGTAGGAAAGATACACAAGACGAACGTAATTAAGCTTGCAACACTGACTGACTACCACGATAGTTAAAAGTTAAAAAAACAACGGAATGAATAAACTCACGTAGAGGTGCTCCTCCAACCATGTGCTGAATTCAGTCATGGTCTTGCGCTAATGAGGTACAAACTCCCCGCTGTTCTAACCACTTGAAAAGATATGTAACTGTAGGGGTTTCAACCTAAACAAACATCATGTACCCACAAAACCACAATATCAACAATAACTGCGCCGCAAACTCTGATCAACTCCCGTCTGCTAGGTTGCAGACCCCATGAATAGTCATGTGATGTAACCAGCTGCGATCCGTGTTACGTCAATATTTCGTTTGGCTTTTTTATTCATACTGTTGCCAGTAACTAAAGTAAAATAAAAGGAATCTTTCTCACGCCTTCCAGCGTATAGGGAACATAGGGCTAGACCTACATTTATAGACAAATCGGTACTGGGTGGATTATGTGGTCAGTGTCACGCCGGTCGTCTTTACTTCCTAGTACTATACCTGGTACCTGGCTGGGTCGGCCTGAAAGCCAAGGTCATTTTTGAGTAACACAAAGTCTAGCGTAGTTCGAATTTGTA